CAACAACAAATGAAAATCCCCCACATTCACTGAAATCATAGATCAAGCATATAATATGTTAAAAAATAAGTTAAAATCACAGATCAAACATATGGAACATAATCCCACTGTAACGTTAAGAGATCACCCTTGGATCTATAATATAGAAATATAACCGAACAAGAAAGAGAGAGAGAACAATTAATTCCAAATAGTGAAATCACCTCCATATTCACCGAAAAAAAATGGATCTACATTTCAAAATAAATATTCTATAACTCATAAACTGGATCTACTAAACAGCTCCATATTCACCGATAGTTTCCACAGAAAGAACGTCTAGGAGAAACAAAAGAGGACATGCAGGACTGGGGGAGATGAGGGAAGAGCGCAGGGAGGAGAACAGACCTTACCTGCGGAGCGACCTCGGCCAAGGAGGCAGGAGAGAAGCTCGGAAAGAATCCTTCAAACGAAAGAGGAGATGCGGGACTGTTTCGAAGGCAGGGGAGTAAAACCTAGGAGTCCAAACGCGGATCGTGGGGATAGACCCGCGATCCGCGTGTAATGCAAATTTAAAAACTCAATTTCCATATACGCGGCTCCACTGCGCGTTTTCAAAACGCCGCCGGACCTATAAGCTGCCCCAAACGGGCCCTAAACAGATCAAGGATAGGAATTGAATCCATTCCACCATCCAGTTTCCCGTGATGAAGAACCACTACCTTGATTCGGCATGAACAATCAGAGGAGAAGCCAGAAACTTGGGAGTAAAAAAAGATTTATCATGTTTCGACAGGCTCATGGATCTAAATGAGTTTATCAATTGACTTCAAACAGTGAAGCAAATTTTATAGTACAAGAATGTTCTTTAGAACAAGAGAGTTAATTTAACTGCCATCAAACGCAACATAAATATTTCATTGTTGTGAGATAACCAGAAGCATCTTCGACGACAGGAAGGGAAGGATAAAATTACAGTGCGGTCCAAAATGAAAAAAGAGATGCAGTGCAAATACCTTCTCTCATGTTACCGATAGGATATGTTTATAGAATCTATCACCTGTGCCAGAAAGATTCTTCTGTGGAGAAGCACACAACTAAGTTAATCCTAAGAAGAGCACCATAGCACTAAATTTGAGAGGACTAAGACTATTAATCAACAATATAGTATAGTTGTAGCTTTATTGAACATTACATGATGTCCAGATCCTAGTTCTGAAGGTGAAAAGACAACACAATAGTACCAATCCACACCACCCTCCAAACAGATTTCAAACATTGAATAGCAGCAAGAGTATACCTAGTGGAACACCCAAACTGACCCAACTAGAGGAGGAACCCATACAATCCGGAGAAAAGCTGAAGCTTGTCAGTACTCCCAAATCTATCCCTGCCAATAAATATATTTAGGTATCATCGTTTTGGTGACATAGAAGCTGTCAAAAGAATGGACAGTGACAAAAGGGAAGATGAAGACTTCGGAAAGGAATCTCAACTTCCAACTGACGAGGAAAAGACACTAGTGATTCAAGCTAAGCTCATTAGAGAGACTCCAGCTGAATTAACATTTGTTATTCTAGAAAATAGTGAGTTTAATGAGCAGATGGCAGAAACGAGGCAGCCCATGTTGAGGGAGTAGATGGATAATCTGACTGACAATGTACCTATTAGGCGGTTGCCACTAAGAGTAGTCCAACATGCCACATTTTATTTCAAAGATAGTTCCTGCACACAAACTTATTTATTGGATGCATCCAGTCGAGTACTAAAAGTAAAAGAAGCGGGTTACATATTTAATGGTTCTATACTTGGCATGTAACAAAACCCATCTATATGTCGTTCCAACTATGTGTTAAAAAATGATGGATATGTATTCTATCAGGACAAATTGGAATAACGTGTGTTTTGGAGTCGCCTAAAATGGACGTGGTCATTAATATTGTAGTGGGGACTACCTTAGGCACAATAAGGCAATGATTTCTTTATGATGGTGATAAATTGATTCCAAAAGCATGCAGAGAAGAAGCATCTCCTAGATGGAGAGAAAGAATAGTGTTTTGCCACAGTGCTAGGTTCAACATATCGCGATCCCAATTACGATAATTCCACAACTGGACTCTCGCAATTGCGAGTTCAGATAGGAGGGAAACGCCGACTTCCAAGTTTTAGCATCTTTTAATCTATCTTTATTTCTTTCCAATTTCGTTATTTTTAATTAGATTTTCTGTGAGAGTAATGTATATATATGTTGTTATTTTTCAGGTTGAGAAAACTTATGCTTTGTTTTGAGTTTAGAGAGATTGTAATCTATTTTTTTTTACCTTTAGGAGTATTGCAATATTTCCTTTCGCAGATAGTGTCTCCGTATATTGCTTGGTAATAGGTGTTTAACCTCCTCGCTGCACGTGCCTCATCGTTTTGTGGTTCTTGTTGTTTTCAGCAGAAAAAACTATCAATAGATGTCTATCCTCGACCAAACATTGTCAAACTCCCATATTTCAATCCTCATTATTCCAGAACTATTTCCCTACTAAATCTCCTTCCTAAATACCTTATAATAGTCCTATTGTCAGACCATGTCTAGGGCTAAGAATTAACCAAAGCAAGAACAGACTGTCGAACAGTGAAATTTAATTTCCAATTATTCTATTCTATCACTAATAGTTTAATATCCAAATATTAATTAAAAGAAACTAAAAAATTCACTTAAATAATAATTACAATGTTACCTTTTTGATTGTTCATATCACCTTATGTACAAATTAACTCCTCTAGTATTCGTCATATTCAAAAGTGTAAAACCTAAAAAAATATATTAAAACAATATAATGAATTATCTGAGATAACCCGGTAAAACAATTACACTTCTAAACTACAGTAACTCGAGGAAAAAAAAAATAATATGCATTCTCACTTTTCATATTTTACCATAAAAATCTTCTAAAAATCATACATGTATCCATGGCATTTACTTAAATTTCGATATGTTTTGATTTTATCCTTACTTTCCAAAGCATAATATTTAACTTTACTTTTACTTCATGCTTTTAACTCTCACATTTGTCTTAGGAGCACCGTTAAATATAATCTAACACACCCCTGAATGATATTCTACCAATGATCGGTATAGCGATTTATAATCTAATTTATACAATTGTTTGAAGTGGAAAGGTGTATAATCGCCCCCAATCGATATTTTCTTGTCGGCACAGTAGTTAGTGATCTCAATATCACAATTCTTGGGTGGTAGAAAAATATCTATGTTAGTAGTACATTAGTTTCCCTTGCCTGTACCATAAGGTGATGAACTCTTAGCATGCACACACAAGCATTCATTTATACATAATTTTCATTAATCATAGCATGCATTACTTTCTTAAAAGATACTTGCATTCATTTACTAATTCATAAATGTACTTTTATTGGAATCAAAATGACATGCTATGTTAACACGTATACTTCTAAAGATCATATAATAATATTTTATATGAATCTTTACTAGAATCTAATTATTACAAAATGATATGACATCTTAACAAAACAATTGTGTAACTATTTAACATTTATATTTTCACAAGACAAACGAGCATACTCTTTGCTAAGCACGAAAGAAGTCTCACGCTGAGTCAACATCATCTCCTCTGACTTCGAAGCAAGGCGCAAACAACCCTTTCTCTTCTTCTCCTTCGCACCAATGGACATCAAAAACAACCTCTCTTCTTCCTCTTCGACAATGCTTGAACCCGCACACAAAGACACAAACAATATCATTTACTTCTTGTCCTAAACATGTGTAAGCCTCCTCTATCTTCCTTCATCCTGTTTGCTCGGCTAAGGCACGACTCCTTCATGCTCTACCTTTCTCTAGTTCTCACTCTCTTTGTTCTCTTCTTTGGTTCAAATAGGAGGAAACAAGAGGATAAATTCTTCATTTTGATTTCTAGTGAGCATCGCATCTCCTTCAAACAACACATTTAATTTTTTTTTTATTAAAAATTTAAAAAAGGTTATTATACCAAGAACGGTATCAGTCACTGCTTTGACTTCGCTTGATCTCCCATCGACTTAGCTCATGTCTCTTGTAACAATGAAATAACCCCCATGCTCGCTTCTACTTCCAATTCTTCTCTTCCCCTTCATCTTCGTCTTCGTCTCTCTTGAAGGCAACGAATTGACTAATTTCGGTCCAGTTGGACCGACATTAATCGGTTCGATTTCTTTATTACTGGGTCTTTCACTCTCCAACATCTTGTTTATATATATATTGCTATTAGAAGTAAATGTTTTTACATAAAGGTGAGGAAAAAAGAAGCATATTAATTATTTTTAAGTTATATTCATTTTCAAATTTAATTGCAACCTTGAGCCATGAAAATGCCTACTAACTTAAACTTTGGTGACAATTCTCAGGGTCAGCTGCCATTGAGCAAGCACTGCTACTGACTTCATCGATAGAGAACCCCTCCTGGAGGAGACAACCTTCTACCAGGACAACTTTTCATTTATATGTTATGTGCATAGAAAGTACGCCTAAGATAAAGTAAGGCGCTATTCAATGCTATCAACAGGAACTCATCCAAACAATGACAAGAAGATAGAATGATGCACAAAACAATTATGCCTCTGTGCCATTGAACAACTATAATAACAAAAGTATTGAGACCAATACCCCATACACTATGCATCCTGAAAAAACATCTTGCAACAAAGATGCAAACCAATGCTTTAAAATCAAATTTCTACATGCTGAACAAAATAATGATATTGGAATAGAGGTTTATCAAATCTATGAAGAAATGCTTTCATTAAGAAAAATCATTTTCTAAACTGTGCAACAGATCTATAATGTGTTCATTTCTTTCCACTGAAGAGGCGGAACAAGAAACTTTTTAGGGGGAGCACTATTTGGCTATTTAGAAAAAAACATCATGTTTTTATTATAATTTAATAATTTCAGTTATGTATATAGTATTTATTGTTATTTAGTATATAAATAAAGATGCCACAAAGCAGAGGCATACCTCCAACAGGCTTCTAAAGCATGATGATGTTTTTCATCTGCACTAATAACCAATTTGAGTGGAAGCAACGTTTTTTGAGGTAAACTTTGACTACTTTGCGGAATAGAACGTACTGCAGTTCCTGTCATCAATATTTAGTACGTAATTTGCAACTGCAGAAGTGAAATATGAGAGAAAATATGTAAACCAGCTGGTTCACGAATCACGCTACTTCAAATCATTATCATTCTATTCTAGGAAAAAAGAAAATTACCAGAAGCATTAATTGGTAGTACATTTGCATTTTTTCTCTCATGCAAATCCCTTCCTTCCTTCATAGCAAGAGAAGCATTTGCTGGTTCCTCTTTGAATAAGCGGACATGTTGAGGCTTCAAAGGTGTTTTATTTTCTGATAGGGGTCACAAAACTGTTTAGAAAAATTAATAGGAATAAGGTCTTGAATTATTAGACTAGGATGGACCAAAGCTCATTTGCACTTTAAATGGCACACTAAGTTATTCGATTTCCCCTTTCTTTTAACATGTCTCAAATATTATTATCACATTTTGAATGAGAATTCTTAGTTCACCGTTAGAATACCGTTCTTCAATATCTTTTTTTACAGGTGCTGGATAGAAGATGTGTTTCCATGTGATTTTCAATTTTTTCTAATACACCTGGAAAAATTTTATGTATCAAAGAGAAGACTAGAAGTTGGAATTGACATGGGATGTTTCCTGCAAGAGGGTTCCCGTGACGAAAGCGAGACCCCACTTCTTGCCTAGTCTAACCAGTCCAGGAACTTTTTTGGATGCCGAGTCTGTTGTCCTATTGGGTCACTCCTAATTAGTCTATTACTATATAGTTGCTTTTCTAATATTTTTGGGCTATTTTTAGGTGAGTTTTCTGCGAGAGGGCCATCGGCATATCCAAGTTTTTCCTTTTATGGCTTGTATCCAAGGGCCCATTGTACCTCGCTCCCGAGGTGGTAATTATCCTCGATGTTTCCATACTCCGCAACCTTCCCTCCGCCGCCGCCGCTGTAATTGATGCAGCCATCCCAAGGACAGCACCTTTGCCAACCTGCAGCTACTGCAACCTCCCCAGCCCCCCCTTCCATTCAGTTTCCTGCAGCGCTTACCATCCAGCCGCATCTCGTGCTTGCAGTTAACCCTTCCATCCGCTGTCTGGCCTGCTGCACACCAGTCCAAACCCTTGCCGCCAGCCATCCCCTCCTTCCCCCTGCCTCCAGCCTTCCCCATCCTTACAGCAGCCCAGCTGCCGGCCGCCGGCCGCCGGCCACCTCCCTTGAGGCTGCATCCCCCTTCCAGCCCTCTATTTCCCCAACAACATCCACCCTACCGCAACATTCAACTACTTTCGACCTAAGCCCTAGTTTGGCATGCATTGTGTCTTTTGTTATTTCTTTTTTTTTTTTTGTTTGTTGCAAGTCCTATGTGATTTCAGTACTAAAAATTATATTTCTCTTTGTTGTTTGGTTAACTCCAGTAAAAGGCTAATTATAATTATAAATGTCAATAAGTAGATCAGTTATTATTTTTAAAATTTTTTCTGATTTCATTTATAGAAAGGGAAAACTCACAATTGCCTCCGGCAATAAAAGTTTGTCACTGAATGAATATAAACAATCACAAAAAAAAAGAAAGAGAGAATGCCAAGGTTTTATAGGCTATGCATAATATCATTCCCACTGATTTAAAAATAAAATTTAGTGATTTTAAAACATATTTTCGAACTGCTTTACTCATCCCATCAATCAAAGAGTAAAATATCCTTATTGGACAATTCTTTTTCACTTCCAATAAAAATGTCCTTGGATTGTACATAATTACAGATTTAAAAGCTAGATAGGAAATCAAACTTTAACATAACATAAATAAAAAAAAAGTATTAACATGTGAAGTAAAGAATCCAAAAAAAAAAAAAATCAGTGAGAGACATGGCATGTTTTATAACATTAGTTAATGGGTAAAATTTATGACTGGAGGCCAAATATTAAAAAATATCTTCATCATACTTTTGTGTTTATCCACCAAGCATATCTGCCCATCATCAGCACGCAATGAATCTACAAAATCAAATAACTCCATTAAGTTTTGTACAGGTTACGGAAAACATATCCTAATGGATCACCTTTGCTTTCAATAGTCTTCATTTTGCAAACCTGGCAGCAGTCGAATTTCTTGAAAGAAAATTTGAAGGGGTTTTACATACATAGCACACAATTTTTATATATTTACGTATCTCACACCCGAATTTACATATTTACACACATAACACTCAAATCTTTAATATTACATAAAAATAGCACCATTACCACTTTTTAAGTGAAATACACATTTTCATGCACAGGTTTAAAACACCAAATTGTTATGATACTGGAGTTAACCCAAACAACAATATGAAAACCAAACATTAGTACGGAATGCAAAATAGAAAAATACAATCACACAAACAAAAATAGAAATTGTAACAGACATGACACAATCACTCAAAACTAGGGTGGATCTCGGGGTGGTGGCGCTGATAGGCAAGGATTTGATCCTTCGGAGAACTAGCAAAGGGTGGGGAAAATGCTGGAAGGCGTGGCGGCAGCAAAGATGCGGGGGTAACCGTGAAGGGTTGGTGTGAAGTTGCAGGAACGATAAGTGTTGTTGTTGTCCTGGGCGGGGGCAGCAAGAAAGAGGACAGCAGGGAAGTGGTTGGGAGCGGCTGTTATGGGCTGCGGAAGCAATGGAGGAGGTCAGCGAAAGCAAAGGGGAGAAGTTGCGGCAATGACAGCAAACTGGAATGAAAGAAATAGGTGGTTAGAACATTGGAACTGGAGGTGAACAACAAATAGGCACTGTTCTAGGTGGCTACAGCCTGTCCTCGTTGCAGCCGTCGTTCCTCCTCACTGCAACAATGGAGGACAACTAGGAGTGACATGAGGAGGATGCAAAAGGGGATAGGGAAGATAATCACCTTCTAGGGAGCGAGATACAACTAGAACACTACTCGAACCCTTGGAAACAACACTCAAAGGGAAAAACGAAGACCTTGACGGCTGTCCTGATAGATAATACACCAAAACTCAAAGCCTAAAACACAGGAATCAAATATATAAGCCCTAGATAACGAGGATTTCGTACCTCTGTTGAAAGGTGTCAAACCATCGTAGAAGAGCCAGTCGGCTCCCCTAGGTCTAGACAGGTTCGGTCCAAGGCCATCCAATCGTGATTCTATCAAGTCGTTCTTTGGAGATTTTTAACGCAACTGACAAACCATTAAATAAGTTATGTGCATCTTCCACTCTTTGCACTCGACAATGTACACCTGATAAACAAGTTTGCTTAGAGGAACTAATTTTAGAACAAAATTTATGGCGGGTTGGACCACCCTGATGTATATATAACCACCCATCAGAGACTTTTTCCTCTTCTCAAAAAGGAACTATATCACACTGCAGAAAGTTCTTTCCCCCAGAGATCCTATGGCGAGTTCCAACGATGTGGTTCATTCATTCTGTTTCATCATTTATCGGTGGGTACACAACTTAACTAAATACCTGTGAAAAATCTAGAAGGAAGTAGTAGTTTATTTGATAGGCCAACAAACCATCATTCAATCTTGGAAGATTAAATTAGGAGAAAATTTTGGAAACTTCTTACATAGTTTTATTCTCTTCTTATTTATATTTTTATTAATTTATTTCAAAATATAGATAAGATATAATTGTTAGATTTGTAAATTATGTGGATAGTGTAGTCTTCCTCGATATTGCTCTGCTAGGATTTCGCCATTATGGCGAACTCTGGTTTTGCTCCACTGCTCGTGCTCGATCTCCTTCGTTTTCGTATGTTTCGCGCGTCATTATCCTCGTGGCTCGTCTTCTGCGGGAGTGCGTCCGTGCAGCAAGCGGAAGGGCCTTCTTCAGCGGCGTCGTGCGGGATCGATTCGAGCGGCGTCCTTTGTTTCGCGGTTCGGCGGCATTTGTTTCCACGACGTGTGCGAAATCAAGTCGAGCAGCTTCCTCTGTTTCGTGGTTCGGCGGCGTCGTGCCTGTTCTGCAGCATTTTTCTTTCGCGTCTGCGAGCTGAAGGATCGACGCTTACTTTGATCGTGTTTCCTTCTTCCGATGATCCTGACAAAACTCCTTCGCCCACTTGGTGGGTAATCATCTTGTGGAGTCTACTGTTGTCTTCCCCTAAAGCTATAAAAAAATGTCAAGATGGTACGTGTGGCTGCCCTTTTCTTAAGAAAATAATTAGGAAGAGTGGGAAGCAACACCTTTTTCTCTGATTCGGAAATTTCAACCCTACTGAGAAATTCAAGTTCGCTCTTATTAGAAAATTTCAGTGGGGGATACCCACCTATGGAATGAATCAGAAAGAGTTTTGACGATCTCAAACTTGTAGGCAAATGAAAAGTGAGACTCTTTGATGAGAGACATGTGATGATTCAGTTAACCCTAGCTGAAGACTAAGCTCAAATTTTCTCTAAAAAATATTTTAACATTGCAAACAAATCAATGAAGCTACTCAAGCGGTCTCCTGATTTTGATCCAAATCATGAGTCTCATACTGTTGTGATATGGATTAGTTTACCTGGCCTCAAGTTGCATTTCTTTAATCATCAAGTTCTCTACTCTATTAGAGTCATACTTGAAGATTCTATGAAGCTAGATCTACCCACCATTAACCTAACCAGTCCTTCTGTGGCCAGAATACCTGTGGAAAGAGATATTACCTTACCTGATATTACCGAAGTCTGGCTGGGCCCAACTCACAATGGATGCTGGCAACAAATTGTCGTGGAATATAAACCTTTCTTATTACACCCATTGTAAGATGTTTGAGCATACACTTGATAAATGTCACAAATTTCATCCAAATTTTAAAGTTAAAGCTCAAGTAAACAAGGAAGGGTCTAACCCCATTGCTATGAATACATCTGTTCAACCTGTTAAGGAAGTTCCCATAAGACAGGATTTGGTGTCAGATTTGCCTGTGGATCCCCCCTTGCCAATACTGCTTCTATTTCTATGACTGATGTGATATCGAAAGACTCTGTTGGACAACCTACATCTTCAAAACTTATTGATAACATTACTGAAGGATCATTACCTACAAAGGATAGTGTACTCAAGTGAGCCTTGCAACTCCTCATCTTCAAAAAACATCTGGAGCAAAGGCGGCAACTCATACTTCACATATACTTGAACCTATTGTGCTTACAAAGGTTGGTAATCTTTCTACTACGGTTCTACCACCTCATTCGAACGATCAACTTCGGATGAGGTATGACAGGTTTACACATCTAGGAAGAAAAAAAAAATGAAGACCTTCTTGAGCTCAAGAATCTAATAGATGATACTTTTGTTACTTCCGGTAATGGTACACACTTCACCAATTTGTTAGCTGGCTCTCTTCCGAGAACTAGAGGCAGAGACAATAATTAGGGCGTCCTTATATATGTATTTTTTCTATTTTTGGGATTTTGTGTGCGTTGTACCGTATGAGTTGGGTGTTTTCTTTTGGGCTCACTCATACAACATGTTGTATCTTTTCCTTTTAATATATTAGCCATATATATATATATCTACGTGTGTGTCGCCTACCATAAGTCTTTGGTTGGCAGACTTTGTAAGGCCCCTAGAATCGCGGGTTCGATCCCGTCTATATACGGGATAAAATTCTTAGGCACATGAGGTTTGTCGATCTAGCTTAGAATTGCGAGTTTGATCCCGAAGTCTCGCTGCAGGCCCTCCGTCAAATCCTCCTCTTCTGTCTGATCCTTCCCCGAAAGTGTTTTCTACCTACGCTCCTTTCGTGCGCTAGTTTCTATAGGTGTCGCTCCTTCCGCATAGGCAGGCAGGCATTTTCTTCCAGTGTGATTGTTCCAATGCGATTTTATCAGCACTGCTTCCTTCCATAAAATCTAGAGTGTCGCGGCATCCTTCCACGTAATCCAGAGTGCTTCCAGTGCTCCATTCCTGCGCCAGTTTCTACGAGATCGGAAGTTTACTTCCGGCGTTGCTTCATTTCACGGAATCCAGAGTGCCACTGCTTCTTTCCATGAAATATAGTGTCGTTAATTTTTTCCACGAAATGGAGATTCCTGATTTACAGCGCAACAACAATCAGCTCTTTTACTTCAGCTCATGGCAGCCCTAAGCACGCATAGGGTTCATGGCCAAGTACGAAATGAAGGCGTCAAATTCTACTCCAGCGGTTAATTATGCATAAGAGACCAGGTGTTTTGTCAAGATAACCCTAAACTCTATATTTATCACAAATCATAAAATCAAAAGTCATAACTTCCTGCAATAATCTCAATCCATGTCAATGCATATTTATGGTAAAGAGAAATAGGAACATATCACAGGAGAGGGCACGGTTCCTTATATCACTACCCCAACCATCGCACATGAAAGAATCAAAACCATATGGTTATCTCCTGGCTAGTAAACTCAATGAAGTGGGGGGAATTTTTTTGCTCTACAAAAATGCCCAAAAATTTGGGAGGACGCAAGAGAAACACATTCTAGCATGGAGAAAAAAGCTTATGGCCTTCATTAAAGAGAGCCAAGTGTCATCCAATACTTTTAACATATTGACAAAGTATTGAATACAATTGGATATGTTGAGACACATGTGGAAATGCCCACATGATGTTTAAATCATTAAACGAACCATCAAACTCTTAGTAGGACTAACTCAAGAATTGGAAGAAGTCAGAGGGAGGATCTCTTTAAAGCCTTTGCTGAAGTCAGGAGAGAAGAAAGCAGAAAGAAGCGAATGCTAACTTGAAATGGGGGTTCACCAATTACTGAAAGCTCAGCTCTATACAACCACAATTCTTGCCATGACAAAAAGCTCAAGAAGAATCGTTCCACATGTGACTATTGGAAGAAGATTGGGCATCTCAAAGTCGTGTTGGAAACTTCATGGGAAGCCTACAAACTAGAAACTTGCACAAGAAATAAAAGAATAAGAGAAAAAGGCTAATGTCATGACAACATCCGAAGGTCTGATCGAACCATTCATCAAGGAATAGGAGCAACGCATCAACCTCGTGACACCAAGT